AGGGAGAGAGAGAGATGGTGATATGTTGTTGTACCAGACGAAGTGTACAGCCCATCAATTAGATATATTTAGCTTTCATCATAATGCAAGAGTTATTGTTTGCTAGACACAAGAAGGATCAATACAATAATAATTATATTATTATATAAATATACATGTATATATATATATATATATATATATATATATATATTATTTTTTTGTTTATATATCTCCTTTATATCTTCTGGTGCTACCAGGTGTAACGACGCCGTGAATTGCAATACAAAACAAAACAAAACAACACAGCAGATAGAAAGAGTTAATAAGAAAACAAAAAAAAACAAAACAAAACAAAACAAAACAATATATAGAAAAGGCAAATATAAAAATAAAACAAAACAAAACAACATATAGAAAGCGTTAATATAAGAAAAAAGAACAAATAGAAAGAGCTGCAATGGATGCATCGTATGTATGTATATATATGTGGTTTTGTTCTTATATTAACTCTTTGCATATATTGTTTTGTTTTCATGTTTTGTTTTTATTTTATTTTATTTTATTTTATTTTATTTTATTTTATTTTATTTTATTTTTGTTTCTATTGCAACTAACGGCTGCGTTGCTCCTTCTTGAGTTCTTTGTATAGAGGTGAAGCCCTTCTGCTTGCTGTGCATACACCGGGGCATTAAAAAGCTGTTAAACATTTGTTTATCTGTGTATAAATAATATGAATGCATTTATATTTAATTATTTCCACTTTATAAAGCCATCAATAAGCTGTCGTTACACTGAAAGAGGTGCAGAGGTATACACTGCAAGAAACACCCAGCGCGGCGCCACCGATGCATGAGGAGTAGAGAGGGGATCAGTAGGTTTTTGTTTTCTACAATATAAATTATTTTTAAAATTAAAATGAAATAAAAAGATGGCGTCAGTAGGAATTGAGAAATATATAGAGATCTGCATCGTGTACAGTGCAAGGGATTCGGCTGGTGTTGTCGCATGGCGATGCGTGGCTTGCTGTGCATTCCTTTTTGACTTTTATTCAATAAATCAATTAAAATAATATTAAATTATGTTTTTATTTTAAAAAACAAAGAAATTCATCAAAGGAAAAGTGCTGTTGCAGTACCCCACAATACAAACGCCGCGATACGGTCGAGCTGCGGCTGCGGCGGTCTCTATATCGAGGCAGCCAGGATCAGGAGCTGCTGGGTGTATTTTCTTTTTTTCTTTTTGTTTCTGAAAAAATAAATATATTTATTCAGTTTAATTGTTCTTTTTCTACAAAATAAACTGTTTTTAAGCCCAATATATTCATCTGTCGGCTCACAATACCGCCAGCTTCTACCGATCGATGCAATGCTCAGAGGCACCGCACCGTGCAGGCAGGCGAGAGAGGGAGTCAGATCTATGTATTTCTTCTCTGTATTTACACACGAATTGTTTTTATTATTATTCGTTTTTGTTTTTTTAAATAAATAAAGACAATAAACACCGCAGATATCGCCCGTTCTCTTCTGAAACGCCCCCAGAAGTTGCCCCGCTATGCTGTCGTGTGTTCCGCGCTGCTGGCTCTCCTTCTTAGTATATTTGAATGAAAAAGAGTTTTTAAAGAAGTTAACTGATATTTATACAGTTATATAATGCATGCAGTAGCTGCTAGTTGATATATTTATCCGTTTTTTTCATGCATACACCTCTCCCCTCCCCCCGCTCGTCGCCGCTTTCTTTCTCTTTTTTTCCTTGCAACACTTGCAGACCCTGAACAGATGCATCAGCAGGGATTTTTATATTTCTTTTTTCTTTTTCTTCTTGAAAATATATTAAAAGACGCGTGAGCTGAATCTCTGTCTGTCTGTACACCATATGTGCATATACACACCACAGCACCCTCATCTCCGTCGTCTTTCCCTTTCAGATCCTTTTATAGTTTTCTTCCTTTTTTATCTCCTCAACACCAGCAACAAAAAAAACAGCAATATCAACAACAAAAACACCAGCAGCAGCAGCAGCAGCAGCAGCAGCAGCAGCAGCAGCAGCAGCAGCAGCAGCAACGGTATCTCAGCACGAGCTGTACATCTTTTTTTTTAATTGGTCGGCGACGGTAGCTGGATATTTTGTTTCTTGTTTTTGTTTTCTTACAGATAAAATAATTAATATTATATTTCTGTATTTATTCTTTTATAATTCAGCGTATATTTATTTATTTATTTATTTATTTATATATATACCAGCTAACATGGAGGCTCACCCCCCTGCTGCCTGCAGCAGCAGTTTACTACAGCGGGAAGCTGCTGCATGCACGGTGTCTATACACCCCGCTGGTGATCCTTCTTTGGGGCTGGATGAACAAATACAGCGCATGCATAGCTGCAAAAGATTCAGAAGCGGGTTCGTCTCTTTCTCTTCCTTTTTTATGCACACTGGGGTGTATAGGCAGCTCAACGATCCTACCTCTCCTCTCCCTGTTCAGTAGCCACCTGCAGCAGCAGCAGCAAGCACACGATAGAGTACACAAAGCAACAGCAGCAGCAGCAGCAGAAGCATGCACATGAAGCATTAGAAGTAGCAGCAGCAGCAGCAGCAGAACACATGGAGTGCAAACAGCAGCAGCAGCAGCAGCAGCAGCAGCCGTACGCACAGCAACGAAGTAGCACAAGCAGCAGCAGCAGCAGCAGCACCAAAGCAGCAGCAGCAGCAGTTATTATTTATTATTTATAATTTATAATTTATAATTTATAATTTATAATTTATAATTTATAATTTATTTT